ATTTTCGGATCACTTTCAGGCCTAAAGCTTAATCGAAATAAAACAGAGGGGATATGGCTCGGAAATTTAAAATCCTGTAAAGATAAAGTTGAAAACATTATGTGGACACAAGAACCGATAAAAGTATTAGGAATATATTTTGGACTTAATAAAAATGAGTGTAAAAAATTAAACTTGCAAAGACAATACGAAAAATCGGAAAAAATAATTAAAGATTGGAATAAAAGAAAATTAACTATGTTAGGTAAAATAACTCTTGTTAAATCACTAATCCTACCAAATATAACCTATGTTGTATCAGTAACAGAAATTGATAAAGAATATCTCGCAAAATTTAAAAAAAATAATATATAGTTTTATATGGAATAATAAACCAGAAAAAGTTAAAAGAGCTATAATAAGTAAAAATTATCTTGCCGGCGGGCTTAAAATGGTAGACATAGATAAATATATAGAATCCATAAATATTAATTGGATAAAAAGACTCATTGATAATGAAGACTCATCACCCAATTGGAAAGTCTTACCAAAATTTTACTTAGACAAGTTTGGACAAGAATTCCTTATATTTAAAATGGACTTTAACAATATTAATCTAATCAATAAACTAAAATAAATTGTTCCAGAATTTTACTTAAAAATAATTATATCATGGATAAACTCAAAATCTGAAAAAGAATCAAATCGACTAACATATAAGCATATCAGACAGCAACTAATATGGGGCAATAAGCATATCAAATTAAATGGTAAATGTCTTATTTTCAAAAATTGGATAAACAGCAAAATTTTATTTGTAAATGACATAATAAAATAATTATTGATGATAAAGGAAAAATTAATCAAAATAAGATTTTAGATAAACTATCTTGCCATGATAATTGGTTTTCGGAATATACTAAATTGATGAAAGCAATACCAAAACAGTGGTTACAAGAGCTCATAAAAGAAGAGTCAATCAAAACAAAAGTTGCTACCGACTCCGAATTTAAATTCAAAGATAGAGAAGGAAAAATGGTACCAATAAAAATATTTTCCTCGAAAGATATCTACATCTCGCTTTTAAATAGATATTATGAGAAAGCAATAGGATTTCAAAAATGGGACAGAATTCTAAATTTAGATAACAATACAAGGAAAAGAGAACAAATGCTGTACTTCATCTTTAACTATATCCAAGATAACAAATTGAGAATGTTAAGATGGAAATTTCTACATTACATTTTACCAACCAAACAATTACTTTTCTCTTGGAAAATAACTAAAACTCCTCTATGTAATATATGTAATGTCATTGAAGATTATGATCATTACTTTCTGACATGCAAATATCTAAAATCATTTTGGGATCAAATAAAACTAATACTAGACAAACTTAAAATAGGACATCATATAATATCACTTGCATCACTTTTGTATGGATATAAGATAAACAATACAAATTATTACAATATCAACGATTTTCTAACAATCATACTTTTTACTATATATAAAGTGTATTACATATCCGAGCAGAAAACAAAACAAATTAATGTGTTTGTAATTTTTAAAAGTGAAATTCTCCAACATTACGAAATATTGACAAATAAACAAGGCAAATATAAAAACTTCTACGATTTGGTTGCAGAAAAAATTAATTTATCTTCTTAACTAAGATTTATAATATATCATAGTAATTTCTTTTTATTCTGTTACACCTTATTTATTAGCAAAACTGCATGTTGTGTACTAACAAGTACTAACCTTATGAAATGCTATATACTAACGTTAACGAGACAGGGAGAAGGTATCGGTACTTTATGTATCTCTAACGAATGAACATTTCAAATAAAATAATATAGAATTTAAAAAAAAAAAAAAAAAAAAAAATGCTTATTTTTTACCCTTTTTTGGCCCCTTATACCTAAACGTTGCAATTACCCCCAAACTCAATTCCAGCTTTCCCTTTGTGATATGAAACCTTGTAGTACAATTTCAGAAAGATCCATACACTAACACACAAGTTATTGTCATGAAACTAGAAAAATGCTAGTTTTTTCCCCTTTTTTGGCCCTAATTCCAAAAATTTTGAGGCAATTACCCCCAAAATCAATCCCAGCATTCCCTTTGTGATATGGAACCTTGTGGTACAATGTCAGAGAGATCCATACACTAACACACAAGTTATTGTCTGGAAGTTACAAAAATGCTTATTTTTGGCCCCTAATTCCTTAACTGTTGGTACCATAACCCCCAAAATCAATCCCAACCTTCCTTTTGTGGTATTGAACCTTATGGTAAAATTTCATAGAGATCCATTCAGTTAAACTAAAGTTATTGTGCGAAAACCAATGTGTCTTCGGACGACGACGACACCGGACGACGACGACGACGACGACGACGACGCCAACGTCATACCAATATACGACCGCAATTTTTTTTGCGGTCGTATAAAAACAGTGATTGAATTGATTAACTCATAACCGATCGTTAGTATAAACAGTATTTATTCCGATAAATCATCACATAACGATATAATACAAGTGAAATAAATGTTTAGGATTCAAAAACAAGCAATTTGCTTTTTAACCGATCGTTACGATTGAAAACTTTGTTTGCGATGATGAGCCTTGAAATCAAAAGAAATAGTTGATTGATTTAATCAACTCTTAGTCGATCTTAATGATACGGGGTTATGTGCCTTGAAAGCATAATAACCAGTTGGGTTTTAGTCTAACGACTACATACGATCCATCAGATCGTTAGTCTTTAAAGAACCACATTGTAACACGTACTGATAATGTATAACTTATGAAAATTAAACACTTCCTTGTTATTTTCTGCAATCATTTAACCTGTGTTAAACGATACGAGAAAAACATTTATTACCCTACTACTAGTATGTCTTAACTGAATAAGGAGTTTGATGACCGAAACGTTTGAATACGATCGTATGCCTTGAAAGCAAGAGAAACAGTTGGTTGTAACGATTGAATACGATGGATATGATCGCTGGCATCTAAAAGAAAGAAAATCAGTTGATTCAACTCTTTTTTTTTAATACTAACTACATGTATCTAAAAAGATTGATACAAACGTGAGTACTGGAAGTAATCAATTGCTGAGGTATAATACGATCGATATGAAAAGAAAGAGAATGATTTGATTGTATTGATTAAAATTCCTATTCAATCGTAAGAAATGGAATGTTGGTTACCAGCATGAGCCTCTAAAACCAGAGAAAGAGTTGATTGATTTGATGGATGTTTTGTCTATTGTAACGATAAAAAACGTTCAATATGATCATGAGCCTTGAAAGCAAGAGAACCAGTCGATTGAATTAGTCAATTGTCAATCGATGCTACGATTGAAAACGATCGTGACAATTTTGAGTTTTAGAAGTAAACATGTCAGTTGAATGAATTTATCAACTCCATTTCGATCGTAACAATGGAATACAATCTTTACGATCACGATCATGAACCTTGAAAGATTGTTACGATCTGAATGGCTTGCATTCTATCAATTGTTTATAGATGGAAACGATTGGATGCTATAGATACGATCGTGGACCTTGAAAGCAAGATAAGACAATGATTGATTTAATGACCTTCTGTTTGATCGTTGCGAGTTAATATGCGAGCCTTGAACATAAGACAACAGTTAGTTGGATTGATCAACTGTGATTGAAAACGTTCGATATGATCGTGAGACTTGAAAGCAAAAGAACCAATTGATTTTTTTTAACTAATTCTGTTTGGTCGAACCAATTGAATACGATCAGTACGATAATGAGCCCGATAGAAAAAAAAGTGGATTGAATAAGTCAATTGTTTTTAAATCGTCATGATTGAATAGGATCGATACGATTGTGATTCTTGAAAGCAAAAGAACCAGACTGGTTCAACCAGTTGGTTGAATTGATCAACTCTTATTTGATGCTACGATTGAAAACGATCGTTATATTCTCGAGGTTCGGAAGCAAGAGAGTCAATTGATTGAACTTATCAACTCTTATTCGATCGTAACAGTTGAATGTGGTCGTTCCTATATCATGAGTCTCGCTTGATAGAGAAAGAGTTGATTGAATTTATCAATCATAAGTGATTAAACCGATTCAAAACGATAGATGCGATCGTGAGCCTAGAAATCAAGATAACCTTTTGATTGAATTACGGAACTACTATTTGAATGTTACGATTGAATACGTAAGCCTCGAAAGAAAAATAACCAGTAGATTGAATTGATCAACTGTCATTCAATATCAACGATTGCATAGGATTGATAAGATCGTGTGCTTTGAAAGCAATAAACAGTCGATCGAAAGATCAACTCAACTGTTATTCGATTGTTAGAAATTGAAAACGATTGCTACGATATTGTACATTAACAGAAAGAGAATAAGTTGATTGACTTGATGACTATTATTCGATCATAACGATCATAACGATCATAATCCTTTACTTCTATAGTTTAAACATATTTTATTTGCTAAATATCAGCAAAATGGATGAGACACAAGTAAATCATACTTATGAAGTCTTCTCCATATTACAATACAAGTATATATACAATAATAACATTATGAGCATGCATGTAAAGCTAACAAATTCATTAAATATTATACGAACTATAAATTAAAAGAAAAAAAGAACAAGAAGAATGGATCCCTATTATACCCACACGAATAGTTGACAGATATTCTATATATAGCCATAGGAATAATGATATATTGAGTAGAATAACTGATATATATATATATAGAGTGCAACCTACCGTAAAAATCCGAAAACAATCGATTGATCCAACAATGGTTTTCAATAGATTTCTCAAAAAGCTTCTAGTTTTATAGATTGTCGAATACTGTACCTGTGTCCGTGAATGACGTTGGGCTGATGGAGTTTCCGAATGTTTACTCTCGAGAAAATAATTACTTTACTTAAAACTTTTTGAAAATAGCAAGATCATTTTGTATATTGTAAATAATATATTTCTATGCTGTTCTTATGTTTTCTTTTCAGATTATGAAGTAATTCCTACGTCAACTGGAAAGAACCTACTTGTTTCTGGATGGTGGGGTATATGTCGACATCCAAACTATCTAAGCGATTTAATCATTTCATTGACATATGCACTGCCTACGGGTAAATATATAGTTTATATAAATTAACTTTAATAAGAGTTTCTTTGTTGCACTGAACATATATCTCTGATCACTAGTCCTTCCCTGTAACAAAGCAAAATTAATATCAACGTATACAGTTGTTTTTGTCTTTGCTTCCAACATTTCAAAACGTAAAATCATGACCAAAATGGACAAAAAGCATTTTTAAGGATGTATTCTTCTGACGTTACAGTCTCGTTGAAATCTCGTTCTGGAATTATTTCCAATACATGTGATACAAGTGGAAAATATCAATGAATTTAAAAAATATTATAATCAAACATAACACTGTGAAAAAATTGTGTATTTACAATGAGTAGTTTTTGAGTAATCAATTTTTCAAATTTTCTTACCAATCAAGTCAAGTCTTTTTAGCCAAAATTTTGAGAAAATGGGTGAGGGGTACAAGAAATGATTTTACCAGAAACATGTACATCCCATATCACTTTTTTCTTTTCAAATTTCTAAGTTATGTATTTTTTTAATCATTTATAACAAAGAAGTTGAAATAATATGCATTTTGTTCTAAAAACAGAGAAAAATCACAAATTTACAAAATTGACAGCATGGTTAATTTGACACAAAAAAGCATCAAAATATGACAAAACTTTCTTATATTAACACCTACCTATAGTTTTTTTATGTTAAATTTATTCAGATTGGTCCACTTCATCTTTATTGAAAGTATGAAAAAAAGTTTACTTGTGGAACTTTGATTTTTTTCACGTTAATAGCCCAAAAATAGGTAAAAATTGATGAAAATGGGAAAATCATCAAAATTTGGTACTTTCAAAGGGCCGTAGCAAAAAAAGAAGTGCACCACCATATGATTTTTTCTTCACCAATTATTTTTTTACAGTCATATAATCCCCAAAAATCAGGTTAAGAAAAAAAGTTTAATTCTAGAAATGTTTTGCTCCTCAGAGGTGTACATCCTTAAGCTTGCATATCAATTGCAAGTGAAAAATAATGGTTAAACAAGAATTGGATTAGAGATGACATTTAACAATATACATACCTTCCTATTTTCCATTATTTAGAAGATTTTATTCTTTAGTTTTTAAAGGTGTTCGCTTCCGATGATAATTTAACATTCTGAAAATTAATTTATACAGAATAACAACAAACCTTCTTCAAAAAATTTACCAAAAAAGTAAAAAAAAAAAACAATTTAAAAAATATCATTCATCATTAAAACAGTATTTTAAAAAAAATCTATAAAACTTACCTCTTTTCAAAATATCTAATAATAGACAGTAATTAGAATATGATGCTATATCTATATTTAACTATGACTCAACTAAAAATTCGATTTATTGTGCAATATACAGCTGTGATTTGGATTCTGATTAAATACTTCATATACCGTAGTTTATGACACAGAATAAATGTGGTCTAAGTACTTAAATAATTTCAAATTGGACATTTACCAATTATGGTCAAATATTCAAGTTCTAAATACATGGATGGAATCAGCATATCAAAGAACCCGAAGAATTAAATTTTTGAAGAAATCCAACAAAGTTTAATTTTGGATCCACTGGACCTCAATGTGTACCAATTTGATAACAGGACACAGAATCCATAATTTAAAATTTTTTTAATTCAGCATATCAAAGAATCCAATATATTCAATTTTTGTTACAATCAAACAAAGTTTAATTTGGACCCCAATTTGAACCAACTTGAAAACTGTGCCCGAAATCAAAAATCTAATTATATGCTTAGATTCATCATATCAAAGAATCCCAATAATTCAATTTTTGTTAAAATCAAACTTAGTTTAATTTTGGATACTTTGGACCTTAATATGGATCAATTCAAAAACAGACCCAACATCCAAATTCTAAATATCCAATCAGATTCAGCATATCGAAGAACACCAAGAATACAAGACTTTGAATTAAACCCAATTGAAATTACTAAAAAAAAATTATACAAAGTATTACAAAAGAATTATTTTTGGTACCTTTTAACTAAACCGTTAGGGTCATAACCCCTAAAATCAATCCCAAACTTTATTGCATGATATAACACCTTGTGGCACAATTAAATAGCAATCCATAGACTTATATTCAAATTATTGTCCAGAAACCAGAAAATCCTAGTTTGTTGGCCCCTTTTCGGTCATTATATATTAAACGGTTTGGACCATGACCCCCAAAATCATCCCAACTTTCCTTTTGAAGTATGGAACCTTGTGGTAAAATTTCATAGTGATCCATACTCTTAAACACAAATTTTTGTCCTTAAACATGAAAAAGGCTTGTTTTTGGCTCCTAATTACTAAACAGCTACGACAATAAGCCCAAAATAAATCCCAACCTTCCTATTGTGGTAGGGAACCTTGTGCTACAATTTGATAGAGATCCATACACTTATACTCAAGTTATTGTCTGTGAACCAGAAAAATAATTGTTTTTGTTAGACCCTTTTTGCCCCTAATTCCTAAACAGCTACATTTTGTACTATGATAAATCCCAACCTTCCTAATTTGGTATGGGACCTTGTGCTAAAATTTGATAGAGAGCCATACACGCATACTCAAGTTATTGCCTGCAAACAGAAAAATAGTCGTTTTTTACAAAAGTTGTTACGACAATAAACCCCAAAATAAATCCCAACCTTTCTTCTGAATTTCCTATTGTGACGTCATGAAAAAATGCAACCATGCCTGATGACGTCACATATAAAAATCACTACTTTCGGCAAATCTTTGAAAAGGACGGATAAACTTTGTTTAAATATTGTCTAAAAATCATTAGGGAAACAGATTCCACCACTATTACTCGTGTATTACGATATTTCTCCACTCTCAGCAGTTAAATTAAAATTATTTAAAAAGTTCGGAAAGCCTCGCGCTTTAAATATTAAAATTTTACTGTCTCGAGTGGAGAAATATCGTAACACACTTGATGCAGTGGTGGCATCTATAATCTTTCTTTCAAAACCCGGAAAAAAATTTAGATCACAGATTATTTTCAGCTCAGCTTTCAAAATCGAAATTTGAAATGATCATCAGTTTTTTTTGTTGTTTTTTTTGTATGGTAAATAGGGTTTGTGAGTTAAGTGTCCCGTCTAGTCTTTAAGATATTCGGCATTTCTTAAATCAAAATCAAAATTAGTTTCTGATGCGGGTCAATGTTTTTTAAAGGACAGACCCATCGGCAAGACAACGTTAGGAGTTGGACGTGTAAAAAGTCTATGCATAAACATATGTGTAGCTCTATAAGTTCCCACTTGAAAATAAATTGTAAGCAGGGGCATTGGAAGGGGGCATCCCCCAAGCACCAAGAAGCTGAACAATTTCAGTAAAATTTGTATTGAAAAAAAATGTTTTATGAAATAATTTGTAAGCACGTGCTTACAATGCTACACTGGTGCTACCTACTGAAGTGATGGTTGCTTGTGTGTACTCCTCGAATTGTGCCTTAAATATAAAACCTAACCAAAACCGAGGTGATCTCAGGTGCACCGGAAGGGTCAGCAGTCTTTCTTTCATATCATTTTATAACATTGAAAAAGAGTCCGTCATAAGCAATTGATGTTAAATATTAAATCAAGAAAAAGGGAAACCAGAAACCAGGGGACAGTTAAAAGGAACAATGGCAAACAAGAAACAAGGGACAAATTAACTTTAATAACTAGAGACCTGAATTAGACTTCAATACAAGACTTAGTGATAACTATGGCATGTTATTGGTTGCAAAAATTTGATATTTTTCATTTAAATGCAATATTTTTTATCTAATTGGTATATTTCTTCATTTAAATGCAATATTTTGTTTATTTAAATGGTATATTTCTTCATTTAAATGCAATATTTTTTATTCAAATGGTATAATTTTTCATTTAAATGGTATATTTTTTCATTTAAATGCAATATTTTTTATTCAAATGGTATAATTTGTCATTCAAATGCAATATTTTGTATTCAATTGGTATAGTAGTTTTTTTTATTTATACGCAATGATTGCATTATGGGAAATTCTTTGACTTGAAGGTCAAATTTGCAACAACGTTTGTGATTGGTCGGTAATTGTTTGGATTTCTCCCTTTCTTCCTAAATATGAGTGACCAAGAATTAAAAAAACGCGTCGGAATATCACCCCTCTAACTAAATCTGGCGTTCGTGCGAGTTCGTGCACTGGCTGTTAATGCCAATAATGGCCAGGTCGAGCAAAAAATGCGAGTGACAAGGAATAATAATTAATTTGACACACAACCTGTTCATGGATAGAAACAGATACCTGCGTGCATGGCAAAAACGCCTCCAATGAAAACCCTTTCTGAAGAAACTCCCCTACAGTCTACACATTGAAATAATAAAAAAATACATAGCTAGCCCCCTTCCCCCCTCTAAGTCCAGATACATGTAATCATGACGTTCTCTGATGCTAATCATTTTTTACTTTTTTTGATGCTCAGAGACATTGCAGGAAGGCAAACATAAAAAAGAATAAAAAGCCTTCCAGGACGTTATAATTATTTGGACTAAGTCCCCTCTTATTTGCTACATGTAGAAAAAAAATCACCTAATTACGACAGCAGAACCAGCTCACAGAGACTCACAAGAAGAGACCTGAGCTGTGATACTCCGGAACTAATTCTTTAATAAAGACAATTCGGGATAAATTGGAACCAGTTACTAACTCTTATTACAACAATAGTCCTATGACATAGGACGTACACTGTATATGAAGGCGTGAACTTCATATTTTGGACTATCTATAATATGTGCTCTCATGTCTTATACCGCATATCATTTTACATTTATGATTCGTTGCTGAGCCTATTTTACTGTTCTCATCTCCGAATCCCTTAAATAGAATTTTTTTTTCAAGCCCCACAGTAGTTCATATTTTTTCTTCATGACTTTTAATTGATTTACTTTTCAATTGTAAAAATTGTGAAAGGGGGGGTATACAAGTAACTTTATTTTGTGACACAGTATATAATATAATTAGATACAAATCTCTA